AACTGCCGCATTGATCATCCTCTCAACCGTGCTCTAAACATAACCTTCAAGAGGATTTCTGAGCTGGAGAGTTAGAGAGTCGCATACCAAAAGTGATGTGATGCGATAAAGAGGAGAAAAAGTTAGCTTAGGCCTGCTAATTGTAAGTGTTCATACTGTTCGGTGGCAGATTCTTTTGGAATACATATGGTCTTCCTGATTACTGTCTCATTTGTCTCATTATGAAGCATACATAATACCGTAACAAAGCACGAAATTCCGTTCCTATGCTCCTATTAACGTAATCAGGACTTACAGCTAGTCATTTGTTGTTTTGCCTGTTGCGGCTGATTCTTGAAGGAAATTTTCTCTTTAAAAAAAGCCACAGTATGCGCACCTTTTTCATGTCGTAACTTTGGACACCGATTACGCACTGAGAATACGAAGAACTAACTTTGGGTGTGGATTATTAAGGCGCAGTGTAACTGAGGCTAGTCTTTTCGTCATTTCTGACTGATTATTCTANCACTGTCAGGCATTGCTCGCCTATGCTTAATTGTTAGTGCTGGATTAGAAAATGGTGGAGAATAGTTCTCGATAATACGACTCGAAATTAGCGTTAATATCGATGCAAACACCACGAGATACATGAATAAGGTAACAACTCCCTCTGCTCTGACACTCCCTCGAAATGATCACACTTACCAAGGAATGACGTTTTTGAAAGGGCGGTGGAGCGGGCGCGGGTGGTGGAGGGTCTGGAGTGGGTGAAGCACTTCGCGAGGCCTCTTCCACTTTAGCGAGCTTCTCTTCAATCTCAGTCAGGTGTTGTACATCCTCTTCACTGATTGTGGACCCTGAAAATGGATTGTTTCAGATAAGTTCGCCAATACCGTACAGCTGATTTTTAAATGTTGATACTAAGTTCTGTTACGTTGCTACTGACTTTGCTGTCCTCAAGAATAACCCCTTAGAGAAATCAAATCCTTTTGACTTGAGAAAACTTTTGTGCAGCGTTGCCGGATAGTGGAAAAATCAANCTTAGAGAAATCAAATCCTTTTGACTTGAGAAAACTTTTGTGCAGCGTTGCCGGATAGTGGAAAAATCAATTGCATATGATTAAGCGAAATTAACCGAAATGCGGATAATTGATTCCATACAAGAATTGTTCTAAAAATTTTTTAGATACTGACATGAATTGCCAGATTCGATCAAACAACATGGTCTGGGACGATGCTGTATGATTGTCACAAAAGAATAGATGCAGAAAAAAAGCTTTCGAACTGGATGCTCAAATACCACTTCTGTTTCATTACAGTCCACGAATTATGCTCATATTCCATGCGTTTATAAACTCATCCGATTTCGGTGCTTGACACTTTATCATTGATCTTTTACAGTAACATTCCATTTTCAATAACATCTTTTAATGTCATAAGAGAGTTAATTGCCTGATGTTTCAACATGCATGAAAAAGTTGTTTTGCATTTACACAAAACAAATTTCAACCGCTACACCACCCAAGTTTTAACTGTAACACAGGCATCAGATGATTACTGGAGAACAGATGCAAACGAAGGAGGTACTGAAATAAATGGATGCATAATGAATGCGACATTGCGAGTTATCATATTAAAAATTACAGTTCTCCTCAGCACATTTTAAAAGCTTTACTTGTTATTATGAACTACGAAGTTCACAGTTTTAGTTCTCATTCAGACAGTGAGAGATTGATTTGCCGATCGCTCTTGGCGATCGTTATTATGGTTATTTACTGGATTGGTATTCGACTGTGTTAAATTATGCAAAGTAATGATGGCAAAGGGCAACCATTGCGGCTTGTAGAATGTTTACTATGCCCATCGCTACGGATCTGCTCGGTTACATTAATTAAAATCGTTGTTTACTAATGATCCTGAAAGATTACTGGCTTACTACTGTCGGTTGTAATTAGGTACAAGTGAAGGCA